TTTTTTTCTTACAACACTTGTATGTTTTTATGCTAAATTAAATATATGTTATCATAATTGGGCTTATGGACAAAATGTTGTACCACTTAATATTGAAACTCCTCAACAAGCAACAACAACAGGTGCTACATCAATGAGTCCTTTTACAGAATCACTTTCAGTAACACAGAAAATACAATCGAGAATTCCATTTGTACCATCAACATCGATGACAATGTTATCGGATCTAGAAATAAATAAAGTTATAATAGCACGATCAATAAAAATTGATAAGACAACAATTAGTAAAGATAATATGACTTAACGCCTCCTATAAAATTATCATCTGTTATTTTTTCTCATGGACATTTGTTTTTCAATATTTTTCAATGTGGATATTATTTTATTTTATTTTTTTTTTGTCTCGTTTATTCGAAATAGATTTATTAGAATGAAGACATTCATTTGGTCATTGACTTTTATTTTATTTTTCGATATTTCATGTATGTTTTAATATTTATTTTTTTTATTATTTATATATTAAAATAATTTAGTACAATCACCATTGAATGATGATCATAGAGAAAAATTATCAAAATTAAATTTACGTTCTTTACCATCTGTTTATCAACAAGCTTTACTTGAAGTTCGAGCTACATCTGAAGGTCGTGAAGATACAAAGTAATTTAATTTGTATTAAAATTTTTTTCTTAAAATACAACAAAAAAAAAATGTTTAGTACATGGTGTTGTAAAAATGGTAATCCAGCTAGAATGAAAGTTATTACAACAACTTTCATTCGTTGGGAACCAACAGGACAAACTCAAGCTGTTCTTGTTGGTCATAGTGATTGTGGATTTGGTGGATGGTCAAAGTGTTCAACATATGGTATTCAACATATGTAATTATTAATTTTGAATATTAAAAATTTAATCATTTTGAAAAAATTTTATTTTTTTAAGACCTACATCACATATTGATTACGGTCATGAACTTGTTCCTGATATTGAAAATAGTCAATGTCCAGAAAATCATATTGTTTGTTGCAAATCTATGGTTCCTGTAGCGGGTTTTTGCATGAGTAACTATATATATATATATACTTATTTATTTATATTTAAGAAAATGTTGTTTATTTTATTAGGTATACGAGATTTTAATCGTGTTGTTGCTGAATGGTCAAAATTACAAGCAACACATCCTGAAGCAACACTTGCTAATCTTATTGTTACACTTCAAAATAATGGTTTATCTTCATTAGAGGGATAAAAAGAAAATAAGCGAGAGAAAAAATAATAATAAAAACAAAAGAAAAATTTTAAGATTTCAATTTTTTAAATAATTTTCCAATCGTGTAGATTTCCATTCAATTAAATTACATATATTCATTTGATCGATATAATCAATAAAAATTGATCGTAATTTTAAACCATTAACAATACCATATAATACTCGGTTACGATTAAGATCAGTATTGCTATTTACTAATGCTATACTATAAGCTTTACTTGAAGATTCAATTGCTGAATCATAATGACCCTTGAAAAAAGAAAACATTTTAAGATAATTAAGAAAAAAATTTCAAAAAAATATATACCAAAGTTGCTTCAATAAAACCAAGTGTACTACATGCTCGTGCATATTGATTATCACCTATTTTATTTGATACTCTTTGTAAACATTTGGTTAAATATTCCGAAGTTTGTTCGACATTTTCTTTTCTAGAAGTGAAAAAAGAAATTTAGATAAAGTTTGTTTTGTTTTTTAATTAAAATTACTTTTGATAACAAATAGCAAGTGCTTCACTTGCTTGGCTAAAACCTTCATTATCATTTTCTTGTTGACAATAATCATAATATTTATGAAAATATTTTAAAGCTAATTCAATATCATTAAGTTCAAGATATGCATATCCTAATTTATAAGCTGTTTCATTTTCAAGTTTTTTATTATCACCTTTTAAAAAACAAAAATTTTAATTCATTTTATTTTGTTATAATGTTATTTTTAATTTTACTTTGTTTCGATGTTTCATAAGCTTTAATTATATATGATAATGCTTCATTATCTTTTTTACGTTCAGCTAATTTTATATATAAACGTGTTAATTGAAGATTAGCATCTGTTTTTAACTGATAATACTTTTCACTTAATTGACGATATGTTTCAAAATAATTTAATGCTTCCATAAGATTACCTAAATGAACATAGAGATTTTCGAATCAATTGAATCATATGAAATTGTTGCTTAATTGAGATTGATTTGAATACAAATCATTGTTTCAGATATGTATTCAACAAAAACAAATCTGATATTTATGCTTTTCGTCGAAAGTATTTTTCTGATCACAAGCAGGCATTTCAAATGTACGAGTATGAGTAAGATGAATGGATATTTTGATTCATAAAAATACTAGAGAAGAATCGAAGGGCTGACAACAATTTAGAGTAGAAATGCATGAAGTCAAATTGTTCTGATTCTGATTCAGAAAAAAACCATTCCAAAATTTATTCGTATCACTGCTAAACAAATTCTTCAGTACTCATTTTTTTTCTTTATTTATTTAATCGATGATTAACACTTTTTTGGATCATCTCTCTTGAATTATGTTCTGATTCATATGATTTATAAGATAATCCAGGACGATTATTCCGACCATCAAAAACCGCATATTACTGCATTAATTTTCACTGTAGTTCACCGTAACTCGTCAGTCCATTTTACAAGCTGATTTTTTTTTCGTTAGCAAGTGGTCATCTTTTCTCCTGTTATTTTCACCGTTTTACGAGCTTACGAAAAACTGCGACGTAATGATATGCGTTTTCTTCGGCCTAGGCAGCTTCTCTAGTCGAGAGCATTCCACGAAACTCTAGTAGAAAGATAATTGCTAGAATCTATGACTGATCGAATTAATGATTCCATAGTATGAACAAAAACATATTTTTAAATATATTCATGAAACAATATTTGATTTAGGTTCATCTAGCGATTTTTCGTCTTCACATGGAAGAAAAGTGCGACAGTTTTCAGATCGGATTGTTACTTCTCAGGAAAGTCAATGAAATTGCCATGAATCTACTCTTTTTAAGCTTGGCAAAACCACAGAGATAAATCATCAAAAATATTTTTCATACAAGTAACATGGGATTTATCGAAATGGTTTTGAATATATCAGCACACTTTCACATAATCGCAAAAATATAATTTATGATAGAAAAACAACATGTGATCAGGCACACAATGAAGATTAACAACTTTGGCCTGGTC